CCCGTCTGCAGTCTGCCGTGTCCAAGCTTTGGGCCTCAGCTCAGCCACATAGGCCTGTGTGGCCTCGGGCAAATAGCTTGAAATCCTCTGAGTCCGTTTCCTCATCTTTAAAAGGAGGTGCTGTGAGAATTAAATGAGATGAGTGTAAAGGGCTCAGCAAGTCCTAACACAGAAGAAGTTCTCAAAAGCACCTGTGGTCTGCTTTGTGGCCAGTGCCTTGCTGGGTCTCTGCCCTGAGGAAGGACAGCCCTTCCCTCCTGCTGCAGGGTTTCAGAGCTGGAGGGACTTGGGGAATCTTCTCAAGAGAAGAGGAAGAAAGGGAGACCCAGAGAAGGATGGGACGGGCCCAAGGGCACACAGTTGAGGCATGGCTAATTGGGGACAGGGGCTCAGGGATCTGACTGCCCAGACCAAGAGTTTCATGCTGTGACCTGGAGTTTTCCAGGTGTGCAGCACTTTTCCTCCAGGTGCTTTTGCCTTCTTACCCAGTGGCAGGTAGGGGCCTGGGCTCCAAGGGCAGCGCAGGGACTGCATGGCTCCCGCCTGGGCGCAGGCGCGGGCCCCGGGTCCTTTTCCTGTCCTGTATTCTCTCCGCCACCCTGGAGCCAGGGGGCTTCCTCCCCGCTCACTCTCCCGGCCTCTGACAATGACCCAGGTGTTCAAAAGGATCTGCTTCTGACAATAAGCAGCATCCTCCCGCTCAATAATTGTAATTCCAGCTGGAATTATACACACATGTGTGTGTATATATTCCCCGACAACTCATGGGCAGCTGTGGATGGCATGGGGCATGGGCACTATTTTCCCTAACACCGTGCTCTTGAATGTCCTCCCAAGAACAGGCTGCCCTGGACCTTGATCTGGCTGGAGTCTCAGACCCAAAAGTGAGATGTTTTCTCTCCCCACCAGGGCAAAATCCTGTGGACACTTGGCTCACTCCTATCTGGCTGTTTTGTTGAAATGGAATAGTCTCTTCTGCTCCCCAAAACCTGAATCCTAGCTTCTCGTTTTTTTTCTAAAAGGGGAAGAGGCTCTTCTGGGGTATGTGAGGGGCTGGGGATTGAGCAATGCCCCTCCTCCCATTGTCTCTGAACCCCAGTTCTCTCTTTGCCCTCCTGTGGGTTTTTAAGAAAACTGCCTCCAGGGCTGAAAAGCCCCACCCACCGCTGTCTTGGCAGTTCTGTGACTATTCACACCTTCACCCCCTGCTTGAACCCTGAGAGCTCTGGGCCTGATGCACTGGAGGTCCTGCTGTTTGCTGCCACCCCGCCCTGCCCCGCCCCGCGCTAGCCCCACCTTGCCACCATTTCAGCCCCGCCCCATCCACGCTTCTGTTCCCTTCGCAGTCCCCACTAGGCTCAGCCTGTGCTCCACTTCTTGTGTCCACTTCTACTCTGCCTGCCTCCTGCCACCCCTTCAGCTGTGTGGCCCCACATCTGCAGAGCCAGCCCTCCCGAGAGCCCCCAGGGTGTGTGAGCTCCTGCAAATGCTGGGGATCTGGATTCAGCTCCCAGCCTTGGGTAGTTATGGGGCTGGAGATGACGTTGGGAAAATGGATCACGGGGCACCAGCTGGGAGAGGTGCTGGTAGGAGATGCCACGTGGCCTGTGGCCTGTGGGGGCTGGTGGGGGGGCACAGGATGGAGATAACTTCAGAGTCCACTCTGTGGGTGTGTTTTTTGTTGTCACTCTTCCTGAGAGCACTGGGGAAGGTCCTTTCCCTAGCCACTCCCCACCTCCAGTTACACAGGCCACAACCAGAGCCGGAGGTTACCCCTCCCCCTGGCGCGGCCCGTGAAGGGGAGTCCAGGTCATCAGGGGCACAGTGACTGTCACAGTGGGGTGTCTGGGGCTCCTCTTCCATCAGGTCTGCTGAAGAGGTAAGAGTAATGGGTTGGCAGCTGGAGACTTGGTCAGTGCCGGCTCTGCCAGGTTTCTGCTGGGGACCGTGGGTGGATCATCTCCTCTCTGAGCTTGAGGGTCACATCGGTAAGGTGATGGGTTTGTCAGTCCCTCGCTGTATAGCCCAAGGGGGCCACACTCATGGACCACAAACTCCAATGTCCACGCGACCAAGCGAATATGGTGAGAGAGTGAAGCAGGCCAGGTACAAATACTAGGGAGTAGTGAGAACTGCGGCAAACTGGGATACCAACCCACCATCTAAATGGGAGGCTGCTACTCAGCTCTCGCTGATAATCATCCTGTAGGAAAGCTGGTTTTATGTTAATTTCCGGATTTTCAAAGAGAAGCAAAAGGTCTGAATTTTCATAAAATTCCTGGTTTTTAAATGTTGACATTCTCAAAGAAATGTAAAAAACTTTGAGGGTCAAATAAAATATGTGTGAAGGCAAGATATGGCCCGTGGGCTGCCAGTTTCTGAACCTTTTCTTTTTTTTCTCCCAATGTAGTGTCTAATTGTCAGAATTTAATTCTGGCTCCTGTACTTATTTACTGTGTGATCTTCAGTGAGTTACTTAACATTTCTGTGCCTCAGTTTTCCTATCAGTGAAACAGGAAAAAACCCAACATTCATCTTATAGGATTGTTGGAGATGCCCATAAAGCACTTAGCATGGCACACAATACATTCTATTTCTTCCTCTAGTTCTAACGAGACCTTGCTTTATCGGAAGCTCCCATTCTACAGATTCTGAGTTTATACCCTCTGGAACTTCAGGCAAACTACTGTCCCTTTCTGTCCCTCTCTATTTCTGCCTGAAAAGGAGGCCAGCATTTTGCCAAAGGAGTTCTGAAATCTCTGCTCACCTTAGCAATGACTTTCTTTAAGTCTGGGGCTCCTAGACATGGCTTCCTCTCACTTGTGGGTGGTGGCTGGGAGGCTCTAGTGTGTTCTGTCTTCTTTACCTTCTGGGGCCTAAACTCCATCCTTGCAGACATATCCTTTGGGGCCATGGCTTTGTGGCCTCCACACACTCTGCTTTAACTATGCAGGGCTCCAAGATTGGATCACAGGCTGTTATCAGTCTTTCACACCTCAGTGGGAAAGACTTTGAAGCTGGTTTATACATTCTATTCTGCAGAACTATTTTTCACTCCTAGGAACTGTTTCTTCAATTGCTGAAATGAATTAGAGACCCCTCTAGCTTCCATGAATCAAGCATCAACTCCTAGCAAGGCACTTTGAGAGCTCTTCATGTAAATTATGTGAAATTCTTTTCTTTTTTTAGAGGGGAAGGGAGGGAGAAAGAAAGGGAGAGAAACATCGATAGGTTGCCTCTCACGCACTCGTAAGGGGACCTGGCCTGAGACCCAGGCATGTGTCCTGACCAGAAACCAAACCAGCGACCTTTTAGTTCGCAGGCCAGCACTCAATCCACTGAGCCACACCAGCCAGGGAGATTATGCATAATTCTTGCCTCAACTCCAGCAGGTAGATGTTTTCATTTTTTATTTTAAAATGAGGAGTCCAAGGTTCAGAGTTTAAGTAACTCTTAGTTATTGGACTCTAGTGCAGGCTGGTCCAATTCCGAAGCCTCCCTCCTGACTGGGCAAGGCTTTCAGATCTGCAGGTGAGTCCCAGGCTCTGAAGGCATGGGAGGAGCCTCTGAAGGAAGTGATGTTTTCTTGGGTTCAGGCAATGGCAACGCAAAGGACATACCTGTTTGTATTCTGTACGTATTTCCAAACTCTCCTTCCTTGTCTGCCTGACCTATAACTGCCCCTGGGATGCCAATTAAAATATCACCAACATATAATAACCATGACTTTCCTCTCTATGTCTGCAGAAGGCATTAGAGCTCAGCTCATATCTTGTGTTCTCATCTTTTCCCTCCTTCAGCCCCTTCACAAGCGTGTGTTACTGTGGGTAATAGTTTCTCGTTGCACACATGAGGGCTCACGCAGCTGGACAGAGGAGCCAGGACTCCAGCCCTGGCATTGCTTTCAAGGGCCAGTGCTTTTAAGAGTCAACACAGTTGAACGCTGAAGGGTCAGGGGTAAGGTAAAGAAGACCAGGGACTGCATCATTGGCTTACTGAAAACAAAATGAACTAAAAAATATTTCTGCGAAGGCTGGGTGACAGGCAGGTGCATGAATGAGATGGCCTTTTATACATTCCTGGTCTCTGTCCCTGAGACACCTTGGGTTTTCCTGTCTCCCACCACGCTGGCCCAGGGCAGCCTCTCTGCTTGCTGAAACCCTATCTGTCCATCAACCTCAAGGCCCTCCTTCCCTCAAGAAGTCTTCTGAACATCCCTAGGAAGGCTACGTCCTCTTTCCTACAAGTGCCCTGAGGTTGGCACCAGCTTGCCCTTTAGCCAGTGGGGTTACTTTGTTGCAAATGCAGGCCTTGTCTGCCCACCTAGGTCATAAGCTCCCAAGGGGAGGTCACATGTTCAGCATGCAGATGAGATGCAGCATCTGGCACAGGCCTTGCACACATAGGAGCCCCATTAGTACTCAATGATGAGGAGGTGGGACGGCATGCTAGGCCCAGCAGGGGGAAGGTCAAAGGTATTGATGGCCCCCAGAAAACTGGTCCAGGACAAAGGGCGGCTATTCCCAAACAGCCTTTCTGCTTCCTACCCTGCTTCCCACCCAACCGTGCTGGGCATGGAGGCTAGAAGTGCCAGGGACCAGCCATGGGCAGAGCTACAGTGCCTGCAGCGGGGTGGGAGGGCAGGGGAGCTGGAGCCAGGGAGCATGCTCTACCCGGGAGATGGACACACGCTGGCTGGGCTCTGTCTGCCACCTGCCTGGAGTCTCTCCTACTCCTTACTCCTTGGCCAGTGGCCAGCATCCCTGGGGCGGGGGCACTCCCTAGCTGGGCAAGCTCCGTGGCTCCTCCCACAGAGTCTTTGATGGAGCTGGGCTCATGAATGAACAAAGGCTCAGGGAGGCCAGCTGACTTGCTCAGGGCCCGCAGCTAGGGAACTCCCATCTTTGGAGCCCCAGGCCAAGCAAGGTTCTTCTCCACTCTGCAGGCACTGAGAGCGGCTCTGGCTCAAGCAGGTGACAGGTTCTTATTTCTCTGGGCAGGTCTGGTGACAGCCTTCAAGGTGGCCACGCCATATTCCTTGTATGTGTGTCCTGAGGGGCAGAACGTCACCCTCACCTGCAGAATCTTGAGCTCCACGGCCAAAGCACATGACGTCACCTTCTATAAGACATGGTTCCGCAGCTCACGAGGCGAGGTGCAGGTCTGTTCTGAACGGCGGCCTATCCGCAACCTCACGTTCCAGAATCTTCACCTGCACCACAGTAGCCACCAGACCGCCAACACCAGCCATGATCTGGCCAGGCACCATGGTTTAGAGTCGATCTCTGACCACCATGGCAACTTCTCCATCACCATGCTTAACCTAACCCTACTGGACAGCGGCCTCTACTGCTGCCTCGTAGTGGAGATCAAGCACCACCACTCGGAGCAGAGGGTCCATGGTGCCATGGAGCTGCAGGTGCAGAGAGGTGAGGACTTCTTATACGGACATCCTAGGGGTGGTGTCCCTGTGGGGATGGTATGTGTGCCCATCTGGAGGGGTAAGCAAAGAGTGTGACTGTGGGGGTGTGGCGCTGTGCCTGCTGGGGTGACTGTGTGTAATACTGTGCTGAAGGGCATGTGATTCTATATGGGTGGCAGGGGCAGCCTGGGGAGTATAAGTGCCTCTCTCTTGTCAGCTGGGTATGATGGAGAGGGAGGATATATGTGGCTCTGTGACAGGGGGACTTTTTAGTGGAAGAATGTGTATGAACCTGGGCTGGGAGTGTGACCGCTCATGTACCACAACCTGGGGTGTGAGTTTGTGAATGGTCGAAGGGCTATTGGGGATCTGGATATGTGAGCGTCTTTCCCCAGGCGAGAGGCAGTGGACTGGCCAGAGGTGTGGGCATGGGCAGGCATCCCCACGCTTCTGGGGTGGCGTGAGAGTGGGCGGGGCATGCTCCGTACAGGGAGAATATGCCTCTCTAGGAAAAGAAAAAGAGAATGTGTGTGTGTGTGTGTGCGCGCGCGCGCGCACGCAGTTTCCACCTGGGCCAATGCTGCCAAGTGGACAGCAGCCTGAGTAGCTGTGACAGGAGAAGGGCACACCAGCCTGAACAAGGCTTGCTGGCTTCCTGGGCCTGACACCCACCTAACAACCCTCCTCTTTGCTCCCACAGGTGACGAAGCACCATCCAAGTGCATCGCATACCCAGCCTCCCCCAGGGAGAGTGAAAGTAAGGGACCATCCTCTTGCCCCTTCTGGGTTTTCTGTTCTCCTCTGTCCTCCTGGGCTCAGGTCCCATCCTAAACTCTGACCTGATCACCCCAAGACCAATGGAACTCCCATTCCTTCTCCTCTGCTTTTGTTTCCTTCTTCACCTGAGCCTTTGGGTTACAGCCCCCAGAAGCCCGCTCCCCTCCCAAGGCCCAAACTTGAGAGGCCAGACTCCCAGACTCCCTGCTCCAGAGTCCCTGGGTGGGGCCTGTACCCTGGCAATGACCTTTGGCCAAGTGCCCCCATGACAGGTACTGGGTGCCACAGGCTGCTGAGCTTGTTTTCAGAGGGCTCCCCTCCTGCCCACCAGCCTTTTGCCACATGGGAAGGTTGGAGGGCTATGGGGGGTGCTCTTGGCTTGGATTCAACTATTTAAAATTTCCTTGTTTTGTGCATGGGGGAGGGAGGAGGGAGAGGCTCAAGAAAGGGAATTATCTCTCCTGCAGCTCCTACTATGCGCCAGGCCCTGTACTAAATCCTTCCAATTATTGGCATCTCTGTGGATTCTCATAAGAGCACTGTGAAGCAGCCCTCACCGTCTTCACTTACCTCCTTGGAAAAGGAGGCCCAGAGAGGTGGCTTGACTTGCCCAAATGTGCATAACCACTAAGGGCAGCACAGCTGGGACTGTGCTCACTTTGCCTTCTTCCCACCTCAGGGGGATGCGCAGGGCAGTGGGTTAACAGCGCCCTGGTGCTTTCCTAGGGAGGGGCCCTATGGGGGAAGGGGGCACTGCTCTAGGGGGCGCCTGGACACCCGGAAGACCAGTGTGGACCAGCCCCTGTCCAGGCCCTGGAGATACAAAAGGAGAGACCTCCTTTCTGCCCTCCAGGAGAACATGTACAAAGACTGCGGCAGGGATGGGCGCAGCTCAGTTACAGCCTCAGCTAAACTCCAGCTCAAAGCCTGCCGTGACTTCCTACTCAAACTACTCTTTTCTTTTTTTCTTTTTGGAACCAAAAGAAAAAAAAAGAAAAGAGTAGCCAGGAACAAAATTAGAACATGCCCATTGATCTGAGACAGGCCAACATGGACTGAAAAACTCTTTGGTTCAAGCCCCTCTCCCTGCACACCGCAGAGCTCACATGTCACTTGACACCAAGCCACTACCGTCCTCACTTCCTCCACCAGCGACTCCCTCGTGAGACTGGAAAGGGGCCTCTCTGAGTGGCTCCTTTCTTCCTACACAGCAGCCTTGAGACTGAATGCAGACACGCGTGTGTGCCGGACGGGGTGAGCCGCACCTGGCGGGACACAGGAGCATTCACTTCCCCATCGCTCCTTCCACTCTGAGCAACCTTCCTGCCCAACTTCTTTTTCCAGGCGCGCCTGCAGAACCCCCTTAGAGACAGTCACTTCCGCCGCTTTCCCCATTTCACAGATGGGGAAATTGAAGTGCAGGCAGGTGAAGGGACATGTTCCCAGTCTCTCAGACCCAGAGACACGAGGAGATGCCAGAAGCCTGATTCTCAGACTGCAAACCCTGCCTGAGTGCTGGGCTGCCCTCCCTACACTCAACACTGATTTTACGATATTAATTGTATGAGTTAAGTCTTGGGGACAGAGACAAGAGATGCCAAGGGGGACAAGACTAGAGAAAGCAGGTGCAAAATGGAGAGCGAGCTGAAATTGGGTTCATTTTTTTCTGATCTAGACTCTAGAGAAGCAGCTGCTAGAGTGAAGGGATCAGAAGTCAGTTGGGAAATAGGAGACCTGCTGATAAGAGCCAGAGGGCGAGGCAGAACCTTGAACTTGACTGCCAAAAGTGGGTCAGGCTTCCTTTGCTGGGCAGCTCTGCTCTCAGGCTTTCACATCACCTTCCTCTCTAGTCTACGGGGATGTGCAGCCTCATCCTGGCCCGTTTCTCTCAGTTTCTGTCCAGAGTGAGCTGGCTCCCTGAGGGCCAGAGGGATGTATTTGCTCCTGTCCCAGCTGTAGAGGGCAGGAAGATGGCTTCAATGACCTCTGGAGTCCCCTTCCAATCCCCTTTGGGACTCTTGCTCCTGGAGATCTGGAGACTACAGTTGTGGTGTCTTGGCACTATGATGGCCATTGTCTCAGATAAGAAGAAACCCAGCTATACTTTCGGGGGGGATGGGAGTGTTTGGACAGTGTATCCATTCTCTGGGCACTGAGGTACGGGGGAAAATGTGTCTCTTTCCTACTAACAAGGGGACAAATCAATGTTATCTAAGAAGGCGATTCAGGGTTCAAAAACTCAAAAGCCCACAAGGCCAGGGAGCTGGTGAATAAGAGAGAAGCGAGGGAGGGGCGGAGACCGTGGCTGCCAATCTGTAAGTGCAGTGCCAACTGCTGCGTGACAGGTAGGGAGGCCCAGGGTTGCCAGAGCACCTAGATTTTCAAGCAAAGTTAGAATTCCAGATTTTATGTGAATGTTCAGTTCAAAATGTGGAGTTCATTCTAGTGAAGGCAGTGTGGTGACGTGCTCAAGAGCACAAACCCTGAATCAGCCGAATTGCATAACCTCTCTGTGCCTCAGTTCTCTTATCTGTAAAACAGAGATGATTGTAATTGCACGTACTTTCCAGGTTGTTACAGGGCTAAAGTGAAGCTCTGTATGTAACGTGCTAAACACAATGCCTGGCACAGAGTAGGTACTGTGTTAAGTGCTGGATATTATTACTTCTAATGCAGAATTCTAGGCCTGGCTTCTGAAGTCAACTCACCCATTCCCCTGTGCCAAGGCAAGATGGCAAGTAGATGGCAGCAGGTAGCGGACACATCCTGTTTTCTATTGGTTGAGAAACATTCGTCTGGTGGTCCAGGTGCTCAGTGGGCCTCAGGGCTGGCCACGGGGTCCTGTCCTCCACTGCCACTTAACTTTGGAAAGATCCCAGGCCCTGCTCACAGCCAGCTTTGGTACCTGATCAGCTAATGATGCTTCCAGCCAAGAAACTCTGAGTTTTCCTCCTCTAATTGCAGCCCAGTCTCCTGATGTTATCCTTGGGAAGCAGAAGGGTGGTTTGTCTATGAAATCATCTGAAAGCCCGAGTCAGCCCGAGGTCAGGGGAAGTAACGAGAAAGGAGTGAGACTGAGGAAGTTGGTACCCCAGGAGTCCCAGATTGCTAGGGGGTTGTGGTTTCTCACCGACCCCCGGGAAGGGGGCTGGGTACGCCATCTTTCCTCCCCTAGAAGCAACCTCCCTCCCTACCCTTCAACAAAGCAGAATGTTTTGGTTTGCTTCTATCCAGCCCCCTCCCTGGAAAACCAGGCAGGGTATATATAGAGGAGGAACGCCCAAGTTCCTCCTCTATATATACCCAGGGGTACCCGCAGGCCCAGGATAAAGACCTCTGAGCAGGGCAACCTCCCCTCCCCACCCCCACCTCCTGCCCATCTCATCCCGCTCTCTGAGGACCTGCTGCAGTCCTGGGTGCTGGCCTGGCAGCTGCCTCTTGCCTGTGCCTGACCACCTTCCCAGGAAGAGCCTGGCTCTGGATAGCTACTAAGCAGGACACTCTCCCACCAGGCCCCTCACCCCTCCAAGTGCTAGCTCTGCTTGTGCGGACGGGTGGGGAGCTACAATGAGGCTAGACTCTGCAAAGGAGCCCATGGATTCAGAGAACAGTTGAATCCATAGAACTGACCTCAAACTCCCGCCCCTACTCCTACCCCACCTTTAGATCCCAGCCTTAACTCTGAGACCAGGTGATAAGCAAACCATGTGTGATCCCCTAGAGGGGCTGCAGGTGGGTTACCTTTGCCAGGGGACTGGAGTCAGGCAGGGAGATTGGGCCAACAGGGAGCCGGAATTAGTGAGCACCTGACTAACCTCATCAAAAGTCCTACCAGTCAGAGGAGACCTGCTTTGAACACCAGAAAAGAGAGCTTTGCAACCCGCTTCTCTGATAGTGCCACAATAAGGTTCTGTGGTGGGGTGTAGCAATACTCAAACGTCTGAATTACAGAACGTTTTTATTTTCAGTGTTCCATGTCAAAAATGCAGCCTGGCTAAGATCTGCAGTGGAGCCTGCTTTAACATAAAGTTGAATTTGCTTTGTAATTAGCATAGCCACTGTTCCTGCACCTGTGGGCGCTTATAAAGGTGACTGAAGAACAGCTTGTGATCTTCTGCGGTGTAAACCAACCCCTGAAAGCTTGTTTACACCATCGGGTTGTTTAGCAATACAATGAGACAATAACAGCCCTTATTCCAAGTAAGTAGTGCAAAGGCAACTTGAGACCACACCCCTTGCACCTTCCCAAAGCTCCCAGGGACCAAGTTGACACTATGACACGATATCCTGGCTCATCTTTTGGGAATGGCTAAAATTGGGAAGGAAATGCGTGTTGTGGTTCTGAGGGTGCGTCTGTTCCCAGTTAAACTCCTGGAGTCAGCAGACAGACTAAAATAAAGGAAGACTCCCACGCCCTTGGCGGGATCAAGAAGCGGTACCACCTCTTTGGAGGGAAATACAGCAATAGACAGAAAGAAAATGCACATATTCTTTGGCTCAACACTTTCACTGCTAGGAATCTATGTACAGGTATACTTGCCTGAGTGAGCAAAGATGCATACATAAGATGTTCACTGCTACATTATTGGCTATGTTGAGAAATGAAAGCAACCCGCAGGTCCGCCGTAGGAGGCTGTTTGAGTACGTTTTCGGTGGGCCACGTGCTAAAGCCCCAGGCACAAAGCAGTAGATCTCTGTGCCGAATACGGAGCACTGTCCAAGCTGTGCTGAGTGTGAAAAGCAAGTGTCACACAAAAAGCATAACACGCAGATGCTGTAGAGGCTGAGAACATATCTAAACCACACACAAGAAAACTGTGGACCCCGATTACTTCTTTGGAGGAAAAACCTTTAAAATATTTTTTAAACTTTAACTGTTTTTTGTAGTTTAGAAAGTTTAAAATTTTAAAATGTCGGACACGGATTCACATTTTTCTAGTTCTTGCCCGCTGACGGGAAGTATGAGATCTCTTCCTGAGGCTCTGCCCTGGAGCTAAGGGGTCTCTCAGGAGATAAGTGTGGCTCTTCATTAATTTATTTTTTATTGCGGTAATACGTAAAGTTGGCAATTTTAACCATTTTTAAGTCTATGACTCAGTGGCATTAATTACGCTCACAAGGTTGTGCAACCATCCACGCTATTTCCGAAAGTTTTTCATCACTTGGGCTCCATTTGACCTTGAACTCTGTGGCATGGGGTCTGGGAAGGGCCTGCTCTCCCTGCTCGGGAGCAGCCTGTGGCCCAGGGCAGCTGGGCTGTCCCCAGTGGCTGGCTGAACACCATTCTCTCTCTTCCCTGGAGCTGCCTCTGCTGTAAGCACCTGGCCTCATTCCTGTATCCTTTGGGCCCACTTGGGGAGAAGGCACGGGGCTCTCTTTGAAAGGGGGTCCCCAGAACTACCATGCCTCTGCAGGCCACTGAGGGTCCGGCCATGAGGACAGGGTAAAGGCGGTCCCTCGGCTGCCTGGCCCTCCCGCTCAGGGCTTCAGTTTCCCCCCAGAAGGAACAGTGGGAATGGGGCCTCACCCTGGCTGCCTTTCTGCCCCCTCAGGCATCACGGCTGCCGCCCTGGCTACGGGCGCCTGCATTGTGGGCATCCTCTGCCTTCCCCTCATCCTGCTCCTGGTCTACAAGCAAAGGCAGGTGACCTCCAACCGCCGTGAGTATCCCTACCTTCCTGGGATGGGTGTGGGCTGTGAGTGCCCTGCCCCAGCTGCCAGCTCGGACCCTGGGGTTAGCAAAAGCAAGGGGCAGGCACAAGCTACTGCAGGCCCAGCAAGGAGCTGTGCCCAGTGGTGGAGAGGAGGGGTCTCAGTTATGCCAGCTCTGGCTTGGCGCTCAATAAATATCTATTGATGAATGAGTAATCATATGGAGCAGTTCAAGTTGGTTTATAAAAATGCTGCCATTTGGAGATCCTTTGGGGACCTGATACAATGTATAGGTTGGATTTAAAAAAAAATTTTTTTTATTAGCATAGCAATCTTTGGGACCAAAATGGTCTTTGGATTATTATGACTGGGAGGGACCTTGAACATACTTAGTTCAACTCTTTCCTTTTACAGCTGAGAAACCTAAAATCTGCAGGATTAAATAATTAACCAAATGTAATTTAGCAGGTAGTAGAGCTGGGACTCAAACTCAGAGCTTTCAACTCATGCTTTTTCCAGGGAATATAATCCCACTGTATAATAAAAATGCTCATTAGCATGAGCGTTGTAGCCAACAACCCCCAACTGGCAAAGTTGCTGCGCCCAGTACCCTACCGCGCTTGTTATATACATTCTCTCACTTATTCCTCATTGTCCTCATTTTACAACTGAGCAAACTAAGGCACAGAGAGAGGTTAGGCAATGTGCTTTAAGGAAGTGCACAGCGATAAGGGGTGGAGCCAGGCTTCAAGTCAGGGTCACAAACACCTGTGCATGCTCCTCTGCGGGTGACAGTGTCCTTTGCCCTTCTTCTGACCCCACTCATAAGCCTTGGCTAGTCTGAGTCCTCCAGGAGCAGGAGAGTGGGGGTTCCCCTCCTCTTGTTCCTTGTGGCACCTCCCCCACCTCTTCCCCTCTGCTCTGCTGCAGAAGGTAACTGAGGGATAGTTGCTCTGACACCAGGTGGCTTTTGGCTCACACCTCACTTCCTTTGGCTGGACTGTAACAGCTTGAACCCCTCTCCCCTGGGGCCCAACATGGAGCTCCACAGTGGGTCACTTAGGGGCTGTGGCCACTTCTCTCTTACTCTCAGGACATCCATACCTCACAACGCCCACCACAACCTACCTACGAAATACCCTGAGGTTGGGGGTGGGGGCAGGTAATGTGGTTGGAGCAGAAAGAGGAAGCCAGGGGCTCAACCAGGAAGAGAAATCTCCGCAGCGCTGCCATCAGCTCCTGCTCCTCTGTGCAGCGTTTCTGCCAAGGTGGGTGAGGGACAAGGAGAGAGACATGCTCTGCTAGGCTCAACTCCACATACGGAGGCGACTTCTGTCCCCCTTACTTCAGGCTACAGTGCTACCTCCATCAGGGAACAGGAACTGGAAAGCATTCCAGGCAGAGGATGTTGGGGGGAGGCGCTGTTGTTCCTGCTTTTGTTACCTCACAGGGTCTGCAGAGGTTGATTTAATACTCTTGTCCACGTTCCAGGCTGGAGGAAGGAAAATCAGAGAGGGGACATCCCCAGGCCAGAGCACTGGGTGGGGGGGTGCGAGGGGTCCTGAGGATATGGGGACATTGGGGTCGGCCCCCAGTCTCTCCTACTCCACGCACTGGGACACCTCTGAGGACTTCCCAGGCAAAGGGACCAGGAAGGGACAGCTGAAGTGGATTCGGAAGAACCAGACTGAAAGAGGGAGCAGGTGGGCTCACTGGGCCAGTTGGGCCCGCACTGCCGCTGATGCTGAGCACCGCCTCTGAAACTCCAGACGAGCCCCGTTTCTGTGCAGGGCGGCCCCTTCATGGCATCTTATCCCTCAATTTAATATATGCAGTAACAGAAAGGTGTGAATAATTTATCTTTCAAAAGTATTTCTGAAGCCAATCCCTCCATCCCTTCAAAAAAAAAAAAAAAAGAAGAAGAAGAAGAAGAAGAAATGAGTTGTATGATTGAAGTCGTTAGAGACAGACACAAGAGATGCCAGAGGAGATGAGGCCAGAGATACCAGGTGCAAAATAGAGAGGGAGCAGCAATTTGGGTCATTTTTCTTGATCTAAACTCTGGAGAAGGAGCTGCTGGAATTAAGGGGACAGAAGTCACCTGGGAAATGGCAGGAGACTGGCCACAGGGCCGAAGCTGAGTGGCCCGCAGTCTAGTGCAGAGGGAGTGCTCAGGAGTGAGCTCCTCTCTGCGAAAAAAGGCAGAAAAAGGCTTGGGAGCCCTGAGGAGGGCAGTTTGCTGCCAGAACCAATGGGTGTGGAAACCTATCCACCACGGGGACGGAGGCTGGTTTCCCCAGCTCTACAGTGGGACCTCCCACCCTCACCCCAAAGGGTGGAGGAGGGATGAGTTGAGGGACCGTAGAGAACCCACATGAACCCTGACACACAGACGTCCCCACTAAACAGTAGTCATGATTCCAACACTGCAGAGATTTCGGGAACTTTTGTGCAACTTCTCTGTGTGCTCTGTTGTTGTGCCCCTCCCCCACCACCTGTTTCCCCATAGCGATCAGCAGCAAAACTCTGAGAAACGAGAAGGATCTGTGGGAGTGCATAGGAAGCTGTAAGAGAGAGGGAAGTTGGAGCCACTATATTTGGTTGGTGTCCAGTTTTGGGGGGTAGGGAACCCCATGAGTGGGGCAGGGTGGCAGCGCCCTGGGTGAGGAGCACAAAGTGGCGGGATGGCTGAGAAGCGCTGGGGTCTCAGGCCCCCAAAGAATCCTCCAAGAGATGTCACTGCCGAAGCCACCCTATTATGCAATGTGGGGGATGGGACAGAGAGGCCCAGAGAGGCCCTCTGAAGAGGAAGTGACCTTGCAACACTCACACCCAGAAATCACAGAGAAAGACCAGACCATGGCAAATGTCCAAATGGGAAATATCAAATCCAGGAGCCAGGACTTTGAGCAATACTAAAATCCTGAAGGTCTAGCACCACCGTAGGAGAAAGCATGGGCTGCCTTTGTTCTCCTGGTAACAAATGTTGTCGTACACACTTGTAAAATGCAGGCCGCGTTTCATTTGTCACTGGTCAAACGTGCCGCTCACTGAGGCCTCACCTGCTGGATTAGCTAACACACAGGGTACTGCCGTCTGGGCCTCCAGAGTGGACAGGTGTGGGATCCCGGGCTGAGCACAGCCCTGCCTGGGCTTGCTCCCGTTCCCTGAGGGGCATCTGGCAGCAGGGGCAGGGATGTTGTCTGGGGAAAGCCTTCCCTTTGTCACCAGCTTCTCTGCCTCTCTGTCCCTAGGTGCCCAGGAGCTGGTGCGGATGGACAGGTAAGGCAATGGAGACCTTCCCGAGAAAACATCCTGCAGCTGCCGCTGCCCTGACTCCAAGTTTGGCAGGCCTTCTCTCTTCTTGCCTCTGGGGGCTTGTGGCTCTGTGGGGCTGTGTCTACACCCAAGCTTGCAGAAGCTAATGTAGAAGGGGAGGGGCAACTTTCAGCCAGGGCAGACTGGCTCTCCCCACTTCCCCAGGATCCTTTCCCCTCTCTTCCCAGGTAACTGGTTATACCAGGACAGGGGTTGGAACACAGACATGGCCTCCCTGGTCCTCCCTGTGCCCCAGACCAGCTTGAGGAAGGAGATGTTTCTGTGCTTTAGGGCCCTGTTTAGCTGCTGAGCACAACTGGCCAGGAGAGCATCTGCCATCTGCCACTGAGGCCTAGACATCTTTGTGGTTGGCCATTCTCTCTACTATCCTTACCCAGAAGGCTGAGCTCCTATGCTGCTGGGATAAACCATGAATCCACCTTTGGGTCTTAGTGGTCAGTGGGCTGGGGTGGGGGAGGGGGAGGAAGCAGCTGAGCTGGGGCAGACACTGAAACATGCAAAGAGGCCAGCACACCTGGAGCTGTGGCCCCTCCCTGCAGGGCACTCCAAGGAGAAAGCTGTCAGGACACTGCCCACAGGGGCAGAAGCTGACTGGGCTCACAGTGGGGCAGGAGGTAGCAGGTGGAGTGAATGGGGAGGGTGTGCTGGCGCGCCCTGGGCAGAAGCCGGCATTGAAGCCTGGCATGGAGGGCATGCGCAGGAATGTGCCACACTCAGGAACTGGCCCTGGGACTTGCAGCACCAAACCCAGAGCTCCTCTGGATGTTTGAAAGAGGTGATTTTCAAGACAGGTCAAAGGAAGTCCTGCTAGTGATCCTGCCAGAACCTCAGAGTTAGAGGGGGTCTCTAGAGGTTGTCCTACTCCTCAGAGGGGACAGGGTAAGAAAAGAGCACTCCTCCCTTCAGCTCAAGGCCTGCCGTAGGGACATTCAATCCTAATGCCATTGACTCTATTGGCCAAAGAGAAAGTTGTCCCCAGATGTCCCCTGAGGCCAATATCTTGGAAGTGCTTCTGACCCAGGGCAGATGGTCAGACCACAGGGTGGAGCTGGGGTCAGGTGCCCTCAGCTCAGGGCAGGTGGGAGAGGCAGCCCACGGTCTTTTCTCTCTGGCCTGGATCCTCCTTCCCATTGGGAGGGGATGCTGAGGCCTGAAATGGGAAGGCAGGTGATGGGAAGGGAGCAGAGAAGGAGGACAGCGGGATGGGCAGAGGCCCCAAACCCGGGCAGCACAGTGACGCTCGGTTCTGATTCTCTAGCGGCAATGCTCAAGGAATTGACAACCCAGGCTATGAAGTTGCTCCTTCCACCCGTGGGATGCCTGAGGCCAAGCCCAGGCCCCCACTGACCTACGTGGCCCAGCGGCAGCTTTCTGAGTCCGGGCGGCACCTGCTGTCTGAGCCCAGCACTCCTCTGTCTCCACCGGGCCCCGGGGATGTCTTCTTCCCATCCCTAGGTGAGTGCTTCCCAACACTTGCGGCGTGATGGCCTGTGAGGTCATGACCTCCCCTCAACCTGCAGAGTATCAGCCTTACTCCCCACCCTCCTTGGGGGATCCTCACAGTCTCCTGGTTGGCTTTCTGGGGTGAAGGACAAAGGAGCCCCCCTATTCACTCAGCTTCTTTCTTTTGCAGACCCCGTTCCTGACTCCCCAAACTCTGAGGCCATCTAGACCAACTAGGGGCCAGTGGTCAGCTGTGGCTGGGCCCGGGGCAGGTGCATTTGGGCCAGGCTGGCCCTTAGTGGTCCCTTGGCCTTGGACCTGGTTTCCTCCCTTCTGCTCTGAGCCCAGACTCTTTGAGATACCCCTGATGGCCAGATTCTTAACCCCTCTGGATGCTACATGGCAAAAAGGAGAAGGCGTTGAAGCACTCAGCCCCTATCTCAAGAATGGTGGGGTGCTGGGGTCCCATCCCAGAGACCTGAAATTCACCAGCTACAGATGCCAAATGACCTACATCTGAAAAGCCCCGGAATTTCCAGCTCTGGGACAGCCTCTCTGGGACATGAGCCTTGGTACTCAACAAGACAGATGGGACAAGATGAACACTGAGCAGAACCGCGCACCCCTCTCTCCCCACCATGCTACCCTCCCGGGAATGAGACACAGGACCCGACGTGGAGAGATTTCTCCTCACTGCATTGGACTGGCTCCCAGCTCTCGCCTGAGGCTGTTCATCTGTTAGACTCACTCTTTGTATCCGTGGGGCTCTGGGGCTGGGCCTGCCTGCCCCGGGGCCATGGGAGCCTCCCCCAACTGCCTCCTACCAGTTACCTCTCCTTGAAGCTGCCAACAGGTTAAACACACGTGGGGCTCCTACTGCCTGCATACTGGTCTCCTGAGTTCACTGGCCAGATGCCCCAAAACGGGAAGTACACATTGGGGCACAGTGGCCCTTGTGAGCCAACTGGCATCTTGGGCAACAGAGGCCGGGCCAGAGGTTACACACCTGCCCCAGATGGAGGTGAGGGAGAGCCCAGGGGCCTGCTGGGAAGGTGAGTGGAGAGGGTTCCACTTCCCCTGCCTTCCCCATCACCCTCCTCCACTGCTCATTGTGGCCAATAGAGAGAGTGACGACATAATGTATTGTCCAAACTGTGACGCCTTTGAGACTGAAGAGGGGGTGCTATTGAAAAGTACAGGGGCAACAGGTGCAAACCCTGTGGATGGATTGTTAAAAGCTCGGTATCAATCCCTACTCTGCTTCTGAGGGAACCCCCTCTGCATTGTTCTTCCGTTCCACTCAGTCCACTGAGTGCTCGCGGCAGAGTGACCCTGGTAGGCGGGAGGAGCAGGACAGAGCCATAGAAGGGTTTGTGGCCACTCTGCTCTGCACCCTCTGTTCCCACCTCCTGCTTCAGGGCATAACTCAAGTTTGTTTTTACACATATGCAGGGAAGTCCTTTGTGGAATTTTTATTAAAGGGCTATAAAGCATGAGAACAGCTGGGGGTGTGTCTTTGTACACCCTGGAAACAGGGAACGTGGGGCCTCACAGGGGGAGGGGCAAGTGTGAGCTGGGTGAGAGCCCCGGGCACTGACTGCAGAGGGCCTAGCTTCGGCTGTAGCCAGCAGCCTACGCTGACTCTGCTGAGCTGGGCCTGGGTGTGGAAAGCCGGGACTTCAGGCAGGGATAAGGGTCCATCCAGCAGGCAGGGAGAAGCCCGCCTGGGTCAGCTGGTGGGGGGGCGGGGGCGTGGGGCGTGGAGGGGAATAAAGGAGCAGCTCCAGGCTCTCCAGCTGCTTTGAGCTCCAGGCCTGTGGCTGGAACCAGAGAGCACCCTGGAGGCATGGCATTCCCTCCAAAGCTCCCCTGGTCAGGCCCAAGGCTGTGGGCCAGTGTGAACCCCCTGCTATGCCTGAGGCTCTCGAGGAGAGGGTGAGCATGGGCCTAGAGACCGAACTGACACCTACAGTGGCCGGAACACCAAAGCCCGGGCTCCTTCCTGCTCTGTCCCTGGGGGTCCCCTCTTCTATTCCATCTGCTGCCACGAACTCAATGCCAGTTACCACAGAAAGAGGGTGCTATTTTCACACCTCATGGGGCCCATGGGGCCAGGACTGGCAGGGTGACACCCGCTCAAGGCAGGGTCAGGCTATCCCCAGAGCTGGACAAGCCCAGAGACCAAACTCCCTGTTCCCCGATTTCTAAGGGGCGCTCCTGCCCTAGGGGATGCCGGCCTGGCCCAGCCCTCAGCTTCTGACCCGGAGGCAGAGAGAACTTCTAAGAGCTTGGCGCCAGGCCCCAGGCCTGCCTTCTGCCTGTGTAGAGGGAGGGAGGAGGCCCCAGAGCAGAAAGCCACTGCACTTCCTCCCTAGCTTCCTCCTGCATGGCCTCAAGCCCTTCTTCTCTGGACCCTTACAAGTAAGCATCTCGGCTTCGTGGTTTCCTGTTTTCAGTGAAATTTATTCTGAGCTCCAGGCTCCATCTGTATCCATGACCACGTGCCCCACCCCCAGCAGCCCTAAAGGTTCACTCCCGGCTGCTGCCAGGGAGGAGTAGGCACTAGAATGAAAACCGTGCACCCTTGGGGTGGGGGTGCCTGTGCAGATGCCAACCCTGGTGGCTGGTCCCTATGGGCCCTGGCTCAGCACCTGTGAGCTGGGGTGCTCGCAACAGAGCAGGGGAGTGGGAACATGGTGCCCGCCTCCAAGGGAGCTGGGAGGAGTCTGGGGAGGAGCCTGGGGCCTCCAGGAAGTCGGCTGCAGGGTGGGACTGAGGTCGGAGGCTTGTGCTTCTTGCCATTGTCTGAGGCCCTGGGAGGGAAACCTGTACTTTTGGGCAGTAAGTCATTGTTAAGAGATGTGTCAGGAATTATGGGGCCTGTAACCCATCTCCTGATTTCACATTTAATGATGCCCTTCTGCCTCTATTCTTTCCAAGGGAATGGAATTGACACTCTTTGAAAATGTGCCGCAAAGACCACTGGCGAGGCTGCTTTTGGATCAGGCTGGCCCAGCCAGGGGGTCTGTGGTGACAGGCACAGGGGTAAACACGCAGAACCACAGGGCCTGCTTCTCAAAAGAGCAGCTCTGGGGGTGCCCTCATTCCTGGGGCAGAGAGGCATTGCCTTCTCCAGGGGGCAGCCTGCAGCGGGTGGGGGGGGGGACTCTGGAGGACGCAGTGGGGCTGGTGGCCATGGAGGTCCTGTCACCCCCCAGCCCGGTGTGGGCACTGTGGCTCTGCCTTCTGGAAGGAGCCTTGTTGGGTGTCAGCTCGAGCACTCTAGGGCTGGGCCGAATGTGCTGATGCTGGGCTACGATTTGCTCAGGGAACCAAAAGGGAACAGTAACGGTCAGAAAGAGGAACTGGGGTTGCCAGCCAGGATGCGGGTGCAAAGCCCCTCGAGAAGCAGACACTCACAGCCCGCTGAGCGTCTGTCCCGGCCCACAGACAGCAATAACTGTCTAGCCCCTTCACTGTACCCACTTTGCATTGCCACTTTTCTTTCCTGTATGGATGCCTTGCGTTAGGGTTAGGGTTAAGGTGTGAGTTCCAGGAGGGTGGGTGTCCAATAACAGCCTGCGCTTTAAACTCGGTTGCAGAGCTGATAACTGAAGCGTAGCCACTGGGTGTTGGGTTGAACCAGAATGTCAGGGTTCTGTTCTCTAGACCACTTACAGTTGGCAGGGACCTGTGACTTGTCACCAGCTCTAGTTCCTAGCACTTCGTCCGGGCCTGGGGGAATCTCCTCCACAGCAATAGTTCCCTGAGCTTGTGCAGGCCAAGGGGGAAGAGGTTTCATTTTGTTTTGCAGTTCTGAGCTATTGGCATGGCATCCTAGAATATATGTTGAGAGGCATTCTGAAGTATCAATATAGCTTAGCGAGAAAGTGCTGACACTGATTAGCAATGTTTGCCTTGGGCACAGGATAGAGAAGTGGCAATATGTGTGCCATACCTTTGCTTTTTGTTTTTATACTCTGTGCTTTCTGAGAACACATTCACATGTGTGATTACTTCTTTAATTCCCCCCTTGCCTACCAGAAATCCTTGAGAGGCTTTATTGCCCCCATTTAATGCATCAGAAAACTGAGGTTTCAAAAGGTTTGTGTCTTTTCACATGTGAATGAGGAACTGGGACTAAAGCCTGGGTTTTCTGCTTCCCAAACATGTGCTCCTTCCTCTTCACTGAATTGAATGGCATTACAGGGCAGGACTTGGACTTGCTTACAGTACATACCAGGGCCCTGGGAGTAGAGCCTGTGCCCACATGCCCATGGCTCCACACCTTCTATATCCCCTTTCTGCCTGCCAACGCTGAAGTTGCAGGACTCCTGGTAGGCATGGCGACCCATGCACTCCACTTGCTGGCAGCAGGAGATGGGGAAGGGGAAAATGCTCAGCTAACTGCAGAGCCATGTGTCTCTTGGAGGCATGTGCAGCATTTGAGCAGAACATCCCTCAAGGAGCGGGGTTAAGGGAAGTGTCTGAAATTAATCATAGTGGGCCAGAGAAGGCCAGCCTACTTGGTGCGCAGCACAGGAAAGGGCCCAGGTTGGGGTGTCCTGAGCCTGAGCCAGGGGACACAGGCTTCCCAAACTGTAGCAGGGTCCAAGTTTAATGAACAGAAGAGCCCTCGGCCTAAGGATATGTGGTAAACTGCCAAGAGCAGTGTCCCCTGTTCTTTCATGGGCCTATTGCTGGCGATTCTTGAAGCAGAAGTAGGTAGATTTTCTGTCCTGCTTGGAGAGGTGACTTCTGCAGATCCCTACCAGCCTAAGAAGCAAGGCCTGGTTATTTCGGATTGCCTAACTGGCTCGCTGTGATTTGCGTGGCAGAGAGGCCTAATCAGGCCTTTCCTCTCCCCATCCCCCTGCCAAGGTACCTCTGTGGCTGGGGTTCAGCTTTTGACCTCCCAGTTGCTTTCCGTCCTTCCTCCCTGGGCCCGGCCCTTCCTTTTGCAGGGGCCTCCCTGATGGCCACTTAGATCTCTCCCCCAAGCCTGGCCTCCCTGCCTGTGGTCTGCAGCCAGACAGAGGGCTGAGGCTGCAGAGTGACTTCCCCTGGCTGGGTGGCATTCCATTGTGTGACAGGCCTGGGCTGGCTCAGATGCCCCTTGCTCCAGGCAATACGGGGCTGGGTGGGGACGGCCTAGGTTGTTCACAGGAATGCCCTGCTCTCAGGAAACCGGGGGGGTGGAGGGCCCAGGGAGAAAAGAAAAATGTGAGGGCTCAGATACAGGATTTCTCTTGGATTTGGGGAAGCCTTTGGTAGCCGAATCCAAGGCTACCTGCTTAGAGAGCCTTATCCTTTAAGACATAGATATAAATGATGCCTTGTCCAGAAAACCTCCTCAGGCTCCTGGCTGTGAGTTCCTATCACATCACCGAGTGTCAACTCTGTGTTACACGCCCATCCCCCTACTAGACTGTTGGCTCCTTGAGGGTAGAACTGTGCCCAACTCATCTCTGAATTCTTAGCATCTAGCACGAGACTGGAACATATCTGGTATTAAATGAATGAATGAGTGAATGAATGAATGATTGACTCTTACGTGTCCCTGTCCGACAAGAAGGTTGGTCCTGAGACAGTGAGAGCTGGCTTGAACCAGGCAGATAATTGCAGGTGGGAACAGGAGGATGGTCTGTGGGTCTGCTGGGTGTCTCTGGACAGATATGTGTAGGGTGGCACTCACCCTCCTCACCCCCATGAGACAATGGTGACTTTTCTTGAACCTCAGGATAGCCAGTATGAAGCTGCCCGGGCTCTGGCTGGTTCAGGAGGGTTTGGAACGATCTACTGCCTCAAATACCCATCCTATGAATCTTCCTAATACCAGAAAAGAGCCATCCCTTGGCACTCATGACCCTGGTTGCGGTGGGGTTCACTATCTGGAGGCGAGAGTCTGGTCAGTGGAAGCAAATCTTCAAGGCAAATGCCAGTCCCGACTGGGCACTGGCTGTAGGGCCCTAGCTTGCCAGCTCTGCCCCATCCTCACCCCAGCTTAGCCGGGCTGGGAGGCAGTCGAGGGGGCGCGTGAGAAATTAGTGGGACCAGTCCTTGAGGTATGCCCCAGACAGAATGTCATAGGGAGGCTATGTAGAGAGGGGGCCCTGCTCTCGGCTCTGAATGCCGCCATGAGCCCGGACTGCCCGTGGCTCCCCCAAATCCCTGCCCCCCACCCCTGGCAGATTATCCCTTGCTCTTAGGCCTTTGTTTGGGCTGATCCCTGGAGGCAGAACATGCTTTTGCCCTTTGCTGTGCTGTGGCTGACTGGCAAGACAGCACAGGTGTCACCTCCTCCAGGAAGCTTTCCCCAAACCCTTGTCAGCGCTCCTTACTGCCTCTTCTGTTCCTTGGCCTCCACACATGGATGTCCTTCTTGCCTCCCTTACTCAGCTTCATTTCACTGGGCAGGGACCAGGTTACCTTCATTTCTTTATTGCTAGTGCCTGGCACATAGGAAGCATTCAGGGAACATTGGCTGAATGAATGAATA